TGATAATTAATAACTTCAAGTTTCACCAAATTAAAAAGAATCATCAATACAACATATTCAATCCAAAAAAACATCAAGACTATTTATAAGTGGTGCCGCCAACTGTGTCTGTAGAACCAGGTAAATGTCAAACAATGTACAATTCACATTTTGATATTCATTATTGTTTTCACCACAATTAGTATCATTGTCTATTTCACTAATCTAGACAATACATCATACAATTAATATATACATACTAATTTTTTTTTATTAATTCATTTATACTTATAATTATTATCTATTATTAAACTTACTTTATAATTACACATTAACACACAACTTTTTGAACGTTCTATATAAATGTTGCCAAATTTTGGGTAACATTTATATAGAAAAAAGTAGCAATGAATATATCATTATTTATAAATAACAATTAAAAGATTATTACCTCTTTTTCGTCCAAGCTATCTGCATGATGTACAAAATCGTTTATATTTCCAGTCAAACATTCTTGCCTATAATGTAACTTAAATAAAATGATAAAGTTAAAATAAAAGAATTTATGCAAACTAATACATATATAAATGTTGCCTGCATGTTAGTAACATTTATATAGAACAAGGCAGCGACAATTATATTATTACTAATAAATCGTAATTAAAAAAAGCTTTCTTTTTTGTCCAATCTGTCTAAAAGATGTAAAGCATTAAATCACCAGTCAAACTTACCTGCTTATAATGCAGTAATTTAAATAAAATGATAAAGTTAAAATAAAAGAACTTATGCACATGCTATTAAATTCAAAAATTTGTTATTTTTTTACTTTACTGTTCAAAACAACAAATATAATAAATATGTAATTTATTAAGTATAGTAATCTAAAAACAATAAATATTAAAGTTTGTGCATAAATTAATTTATTTTTACTTAAGATGAGTGCTTCAAATTACTTAAATATAAACAAATAAAAATAATTGTATTATAATAAATAATTGTATAATATTTATAAACATATATGCTTATATTTAATTGAGAAGTAAAATCTTGTGCATTAATTAACTTTTTTTTTTTGATATATTAAAATAATTGCTGTAGTTTTCCTTCTCTAACTAAGTTGTTCTTAGAATATCATTACAAGTTGTTCTTAGAATATCATCACAAGTTGAATCCCAAAGATTACTCTTTTATCTTTTCTGGTTAATTCAAACTCAATTCACCTTTTTATTTAGATAGCTTTTGAACTATTTTTAAGAATATTAAATCCATATATATACTGGCAATGTTATAAATGATATAAATGAATAACATAATAAATATCCCTACTAGATCTAGTCGCTAACTAAATGCCGACTTGAATGGTCGCATCAACAGAAAGACAAAATTGAATAAAACATTTATCATAAAATAAAGTTTTTTAATACTTTTTTTTTTTTTTTTTAATTTTAATTCACCTCCTCAAGGCCAAGAAGGCCACTACAGACAAGGAGGCTACTTATTTGTGGCTATAACCCTCTCTCAACTCTATAACTCCGAAACACGAACCTTGATGAACAAGGCCGCTGCGCGGAGAAACGAGTTGAGCGCGGTACTACCAGGGGCATGGCGAGGATCGAACTCCAAACTTAATAAACATTTACCATACAATAAAGTGTTTTAACTTAAAACATTTTTATGCAAACTAAAGCCATTAAAAAAAAAAGTAAAAAAAAGATAGTTCTAGTTATCTTTTATACATTAGTTATCTAATCTTATCCGATACACAGCTTATCTAAGCTCATCTAATTTATTAGATAAGTTTTATAAAAATAATTACATTAGTTTCAATGTACATTAGATAACTATTTAATACACTAGTTATCTAATGTACATCAAAACTAAAATATTTTTGTAAACTAAATCAACATTAAAAATCAAACTGATTCACTTGACATACTTGCTATACTATTGCAAGTTATGCAAAGTAAGCAAAGCTATTGGCAATAGCTAGAATAAGTATATGCATAAATAATATGTAATTAAATATATAAAGAATAAATATATGCATATTAAAATGCATTATAATATGATAATATCTAGAGACGTAAAAGACAGTGTAGGCCAAGACTAAGACCAAGGCAGTTTGATTTAATACCAAGACTAAGAACAAGACAGTTAAATGAGTCTTGTGATGATCAGTGATGAGACAGTTAAATGAGTCTCGAGACCTCTCAAGACCAAGACTTAAGTCTCGAAACATCTCTGATAATATTATGATCCATTATAAAATGCATACATTTATCATATTCTAGCTAATGCAAATATGTCTAGCTGTGTATATCTATATGTTTAGTTTGAATCGTATTAAATGTGAGGCATTATAAAAAATATATAATTTAGTTTTATTAAATACAGAAAAACAGAAGAATATAGAAAATATTGTTTACTCAAGTTAGAAATAATTGTAAATCTACAAATTACATCGACATCTTTAAAAGCGCTTTAAAAGCCTATATATATATATATATATATATATATATATATATATATATATATATATATATATATATATATATATATATATATATATATATATATATATATATATATATATATATATATATATATATATATATATATATATATATATATATATATATATATATATATATATATATATATATATATATATATAGGTCTTGCAGGAATGGCGGGCAATTGCTGCCCATTCCAATTAAAGTCTGTGTAATATACAATTTTTTTTGTTTTACACCAAAATTTTTTTTTGTATTTTAGATTTTTTAGTTAAATTTACTTGCATAAACAAAAATAGTATAAAACATCTAGATTATTTAAAGCAAAGTATTGCTTTAATAAGTACTAGCTGTCATGACCCGTAAAATACGGGTCTTTAGGATATTGATGCACACTTTATCCGCGTGCTTACAGTTCATAAGAACTATTATCTGGTTTATAACGCAAGATAATCTCAATCAAATGAAAACATCTAAATGATAACTTTTAATGTCCTAGATACGAAGATTAAACTTATTGATTGTGTAAACACTAACTTTAACATAAATGGCATTTGCGAGACACTTCTTGCAACTTATGTCAAAATTTAATGGTGACTCTAAAATCCTAAAGGATAGGGGGAGACGCTTTTTTTGTCACTTTTATCTAAATTCTAAAAAAAATATCAAACAATGTAATAATCTAAAAATAATAATATGATAATGTTACTATCAATGTAATAAATCTAAATCCAAAAGTCAAGGATTAGAGAGATGTAAGAAAAAATTTGTAAAAAATTCTTTTTTTAAGCCTTAAATTTTATCTTTTTTTAAGTATTTAACTAAGCATTTAACTAAGCCTCGTGGTGATTAAAACCGCGTGGAAGTAAAACTCGATTGGCATTTTGTTTAAAAAACCTAGGTTGGCACTTTGTACCACAGCGATATTTATCATATACAAAAAAGCTGAATTTCTGTTTTTGTATATTTGATCAACAAAGTTTTTTCTCAAAAAGACTTGGAATATGTCAAGAAAGTTGGAAACTAAGTGTTAAAAGACTTCACGAATAAACAAAATTTTGAAATTTGTGAACGATTTTTTTCTCTCGTTAGCGAAGTTGGTTCTGTGTCAAAATGCAAGGATCAAACTTTTGATTAATATCTTTACATATGTTGTCTATATACAATATCTATAAAACTTTATAAGTATTTGAATTTGTATTTAAAAAAATCTAAAAAAAAAATTAAAACAGTAGTTGCCAACGGTAGGACTCGAACTACAGCAGCTATGTTCCGAAGCCCAGTGCGCTAACCACTCGACTACGCTGACGCATTAAGAACTAAAGATTCAAAATTATATAAAAATTGTTTTTAACGGATATAAATGCAAAAGATTAGAAATCGGTATTATGCTAATATTAAATAGTTTAACTTTTAATTATTTTTAGAAACAATAAATTTTATAAAATAATTTAGTGTACATATAAAATTAAAATCTTTAATTATGTTCTAAATAAAAATATACTTTTTTTTAGCCCCCTTACCATTTTTAAAAAAAGTTATGGTCGCCGCGTGGCAAGTTCATCAGCTTGGCATGCGGTTTTGTTGTTTAAAATGCAAATCAAAAGTTATATAGATTTTATATTCTATATATAAACATGTTTTTTACTAATTTTCCTTGCTCAATTTAGTTGTAAATAAACTTGAAAAGTTTAACTAAAATAACATAAGTATCTCAATAATGACACATGCGCAAAAAAAAATAAAAAAGAAGGTCGCCGATAGTAGGACTTGAACCACGGCTAACTTGGTCAGAAACCCAGCGCGCTAACCACTCTACTATGCTGTCACGTAGTGTCTTGGAGATTTCAAATTATATAAAAATTGTTTTTTAACGGATAAAAACACAAAAGATTAGAAATTAAGCAAAGGTTGACGAAATGCAGTTCTTAAGTGAAATCAAACTGTTGAACTTGATATATGTTTAAGCATGTTTTAACATTACATAACATGAAGTTTATGTATGTACAATATGAGTTTCACGTTTGCTCGCGTTTTCTTATAAAGCAAAGGTAAGACTCTTTCTCGTCACTACCTCGGATGCAATGGTTGCCAAGAGTATCGTGTCAAACAGGCTTGAAAGTGCACTACTACTACTATTAAGTCCAGTATTATTATAAAGAGATTACCTAATTATACAATAATAATAAAAAAGCAAAAAAAATGTTTTTTTTTAATTTTTTTATTATTTTTTTATAAACTTGATAAGTTCATTAGCACACTATCAGTGTGTGCGAACTGTCAACTCCATTCAAGACTGACATTTCACGGTTTGTGCACTCATATATATATATATATATATATATATATATATATATATATATATATATATATATATATATATATATATATATATATATATATATATATTAGTTGTGAAGTGTTCATTTCTATAGTTATATTTACTTAATTTTTTTAAAAATTTTTTAGTTAAGAAAATAATTACATTTGACTTTTTTTTTCATTTAGGCACCAATCCAACGATTTGCAGATCGGTTAGCTAGTGTGTTTGTACCAGGTATAATCTTGCTTTCAAGTTCAACTCTTATTGTTTGGCTAGTGATTGGTTTTAACCACCCTGAATGGATAAATGCTCATAATATGGTAGGATTGTTATTTAGAAAATGATTTTAAAAGCAACTATAACTTAATTTAAAGGATATATCAGGAAAACATAGAATGCTATTCTTTTCCATTATTTTTTATGTTATGGTTTCATTATTATATTTTCCTTTGTTTTTTAATATATCAGATAAATATCAAAAATGGTTTTTAGAATTTTTTTTTTAATTTAGTTTTCAATGCATGGACATAATGAAATTGTAATACAATTTGCATTTCGAACTGCAATCTCTGTTTTATGTATTGCGTGCCCATGTGCGTTAGGTCTTGCAACTCCTACTGCAGTTATGGTTGGAACAGGAGTTGGTGCATCAAATGGTATTCTTATTAAAGGTGGAGAACCACTTGAGTTAGCTCATAAGGTATCGCTATCATTAACTTAGATAAGTTGATTATGATATTTAAATAAACATATTGTTTGGTTTTTCATGACAAAAGGTTTATTTATATACTCTTCTCAAAAAATATCATCTTTGTAAATATTTAAGTTGATTGGTACAGTAACTGTTACATTTTTGGGCAAAACAGTAATACATGAACTATGGGCAAAATAGTAATACATCAATTGTTGGACAACTGTAATTTAACCAATTGACTTTTAAATTTAATGATTTTCTTTTAGTCTGGTCAAGACTTTATGTTTTAAGAAAATTTAAAGCTCATAATCTGTTGTTTTTTGATTAATTGCTGTATTATTTTGAACATAAAATGTTTTGTGTCATGTATGTATAGTGTTAAGTTCAGTAACTGGACTACTGAACTGATAAAAACAACTGGTTAGGGAAAAAAAGATACTCCTTTGAATAAAAAGATACTCTAAAAATAAGATTATGTTGCCCGCTTTCTCCCTAGATATCTTGCAATTTTAGATATCTGTAATACAGTTGTTAAAAAAATGACAATTGTTTTACTATCAGCATTGATTTATGGAACATTTATTTTTTATTTTAAAATTAAATAGTTTATCTACCAAAGAATTTATTTTTTTGTTGCATTAGGTTTTCTGTATTAAATCTCAAATTTACTAAAACTCACCTCAATTAACTAAAGGATCTATTTAACTTAACAATCTCCTTAATTCTAGCAATTTTTTGGTATAGCATTGCAACCAAATTTATTTCAGTCTCTTCCAGGTTTGACAAGTGAATTTAGAGTAATTCATTGACATATTTGTAAAGGTATTTCTTACTTATTAAACAAGACACTTGTATGATGTGCAATTGCATTGTAAAAAAAAAAGTCATGTAGGATGTTATTTCTTATTTCTTTGCATTCCTCACTTAAATATCAAAAAAAGGAAATTTATATTTTTTTGATCATGTTTTTTCTCTTTGAAATACCTACCAGTTATCTACATATACCTACCAGTTATCTACAACCAAACCTACCAGTTATCTATAAAGTAAATCTTTTAGTTCTAGTTATCCTATATTTTTTTATGAACAATTCCTTTTAAGATTATGCTCCCACTGCAATCAAGTTCTTTGCTCAATTATTGGTTCTGATACCTCTCTTGTTACAAATAGGCTCCAATACCTCCCTTGTTACAGATGGATACCTCCTTTGTTACAGATAGATACCTCCCTTGTTACAGATGAAAATAAAATAGATTTTTTGACAAGATTCTCAAATCTTGTCAAAAAATGATCTAAAACCTTTTTAGTTATATAATGTAAAAACAATAAATACACATTCAAATGTTATTAATTTAAAGTAAAAGATATTTATATAATTATAAATAGTCCATAATGGTAATAGTACATTTAAAATTTAGGTTGACACAATCGTTTTTGATAAGACGGGTACATTAACACATGGCCGTCCTCAAGTTGTTGCAACAAAAATATTTGTTGATAATATTTTTTTGCCATGGAAAGTGTTTTTAGCTATTGCAGGTGCTGCAGAATCAAACAGCGAACACCCTCTTGGTGTTGCCCTCAAGCAGTATGCCCAAGAAGTAAAGTTTGAATTTGTTTTTGATTCAATTATTATTTAAATTTTTGTTTTGAATTTAGTATTATCAATTTTAATTTTTCTAAAAATCTATATTTATTATTTTTTAAGCTTTAAGAAAAATAAAGATCTTCTTTTTAGTTGTGTCAAATAAAAAATCTAAATTTTAAATTTTTTTGATAAAATCAATATTTTGTTAGATACTAAATGTTGAAAGACTTGGGGAGGTAAACAACTTCTATTCTTTTACTGGTCAAGGAGTGAAATGCACAGTTAAAAATGTAGTTCGTTCAACTGTTGAAGAAAATGCACCGTTAACTGTTCAAATCGATGGCATTCCGATTGATACAATTACAAATGCTTACACTCAGTCAGGTTTTGAAAATCTTTTGTGTCTTGTGTTTTGCTTTAATCTTTTTCTAATATTCTTAAAGCAAAAATCAATGTAGAATTTTATTTTACAGAAAGCATTTTAAAAAGCAGTTATGAAGTAATGATTGGTACAAGAAAATTTCTTCAAGAAAATTCTATTCTATGGAATGATCAGGTTGAATTGGTAATGAAAGCACATGAAGAAAAAGGAAGAACTGTGGTCCTCGTAGCCATAAACAGTAAGTTTTAGCTAAAGTTACAACAAGTGTATAATGGAGTGAATAAATTTTTATTTTGTAATAAAAGTTTTTTTAATTTTTCTCTATGGTTTCTTTTTTGTTCAATGATTTTTCTTTAAAATTTCTGTAAAAACCTTATTTGTGGAAACCAAAAATTATTTTTGTTGTTGTTGTTGAAAACTAAATAATATATGGTAGTAGTGATATTAGTGATTTGTAAGCAAAAATTAATGATCATTGTCATTTCGCCAAAAGTAGAAAGTTTGATCCCCCTTTTGTCACCAGTAATGCCCCATTATACTTTTTTTCCACGTCGACCATACTCATTAAGGTACATGTTCAAAAGTTTTAAGATTGACAGAGTTATAAAAAAAAGACTTACAAAATTTCTAAATAAAAAGCTTATAAAATGACCAATCAATTCATTTTTTTGAATTCATTCAAATTATCCACAAAAAGTATGAGAATAATGACTTTTACATCTTGTTTTTAAATTACGCATCACTTACCTTCATTTTTGATTTAGAAGCAGTTAAGGGATTTTCTTGGAGACATAGTGTGTTACTAGGAGACATAATGTGGAAGATTGATAACATTATTATTTTTTGTTTGCTTTTATCATAAAACCTGGTTACTTCAGACAAAAACTTTGAGTAAAACTTTCATTTAAAAAATTCTATTGTCTTAAAAAAAAGATTTTTGTTCTATTTTTTTTTTAAGATAATAGAGTTTTTCTAAGAAGTTTACATTTTTAGTTACAGTTTTTCTTATTTTATTACAAGTTATTTTTGTACAAGTTTTATGATGAGAACATTTATAAAGAACCGTTTGAACCAAACATCTGTTAATCGCAGCCCAAAAACATGAAATTTACCATATGCAAATGGTTAAATGTCTCTAATTAATGAAAAGTGTTTGTTAGAAAAAATGTTCAATTGTAGCCTTGGAACTCCTTAATTTTAGCTATGAATTTGATTGTTGATTGTAGCCTTAAAACTCTTGATTGTGGCCTTGAAACACTTGAATGTAGCTATGAAACTCTTGATTGTAGCCTTGTAACTCTTGATTGTTACCTTAAAGCTCTCGGTTGTAACCTTTAAACACTTGATTGTAACCTTGAAACTCTTGATTGTAACTTTAAAACACTTGATTGTAACCTTGAAAATCTTTATTGTAACCTTAAAACTCTTGTTTGTAACCTTAAAACACTTGATTGTAACCTTAAAACTCTTTATTGTAACCTTGAATCTCTTGATTGTAACCTTGAAACTCTTGGTTATAGCTTAAAACTCTTAATTAACTTGAAACTCTTGTTTGTAACCTTAAAATACTTGATTGTAACCTTAAATCTCTTGATTGTAACCTTAAACCTCTTGATTGTAGTCTTGCAACTCTTGATTGTAACCTTAAAATACTTGGTTGTAACCTTGAAACTCTTCATTGTAACATTAAAACTCTTGATTATAACATTGAAACACTTGACTGTAACCTTTAAACACTTGATTGTAACCTTAAAACTTTTAATAACAATTTTGAAACTTTTGATTGTAGTCTTGTAAGTCTTGATTGTAACCTTGAAACTCTTGATTGTAACCTTGAAACTCTTGATTGTAACCTTAAAATACTTGATTAAAACCTTGAAACTCTTCATTGTAACATTAAAACTCTTGGTTATAACATTGAAACACTTGATTGTAACCTTGAAACTCTTGATTGTAGTCTTCAAACTCTTGTTTGTAACCTTAAAATACTTGATTGTAACCTTGAAATTCTTGATTGTAACCTTGAAACACTTGATTGTAACCTTGAATCTCTTGATTGTAACCTTAAAACTCTTGATTGTAGTCTTGCAACTCTTGATTGTAACCTTAAAATACTTAATTGTAACCTTAAAATACTTGATTTTAACCTTGAAACTCTTGATTGTAACATTAAAACTCTTGATTGTAACATTGAAACACTTGATTGTAACCTTGAAACTCTTGATTGTAGTCATAAAACTCTTAATTGTAACATTAAAACACTTGATTGTAACATTGAATCACTTGATTGTAACTTTGAAACTCTTGATTGTAGTCTTGAAATTCTTTGGTTGTAACCTTAAAACTTTTTGCTTATAACCTTGAAACTCTTGATTGTAACCTTGAAAAACTTGATTGTAACTTTAAAACAATTGATTGTAACCTTGAAATTCTTGATTGTAACATTGAAACACTTGATTGTAACCTTGAAACTCTTTATTGTAACCTTAAAACTTTTTGATTACAAACATAAAACACTTGATTGTAACCTTAAATCTCTTGATTGTAGTCTTGAAATTCTTTGGTTATAACATTGAAACTTTTTGATTATAACCTTGAAACTCTTGATTGTAACCTTGAAACTCTTGATTGTAACCTTGAAACCCTCAAGTGTTACATTGAAACACTTGATTGTAACCTTGAATCTCTTGATTGTAACTTTAAAACATTTGATTGTAACTTTGAAACTCTTAATTGTATCCTTGAAACTCTTGTATGAAACCTGAAACTCTAGATTGTAACTTTTAAAGACTTGATTGTAATCTTGAAACTTCTTATTTTAACCTTAAAACCTTTTGATTATAACCTTAAAACTCTTGATTGTAACCTTGAAACTCTTGGTTATAGCTTTGAAACTCTTGATTGTAGTTTGGAAACTCTCAATTCTCAACTTAAAATACTTGATTGTAATCTCTTGATTGTAACTTTAAAACACTCGATTGTAACCTTGAAACTTTTGATTGTAACCTTGAAACTTTTGATAATAACTTTGAAACTTTTGACTGTAGTCTTGAACTCTTGATTGTAATCTTAAAACTCTTGATTGTAACCTTGAAACTCTTGATTGTAACCTTGAAACACTTGATTGTAATCTTAAAACGTTTGATTGTAACCTTGAAACTTTTGGTAATAATTTTCAAACTCTTGATTGTAGTTTTGTAACTCTTGATTGTAATCTTGGAACTCTTGATTGTAACCTTGAATCTCTTGATTGTAACCTTAAATCTCTTGATTGTTACATTGAAACACTTGATTGTTACCCAGATACACTTGATTGTAAACTTGAATCTCCTGATTATAACCTTGAAACTCTTGATTGTAACCTTGAAACTCTTGATTATAGCTTTGAAACTCTCGATTGTAGTCTTTAAACACTTGATTTTAACCTTAAAATACTTGATTGTAACCTTAAAACTCTTGATTGTAACATTAAAACTCTTGATTGTAACCTTGAAACTCTTGATTATAACCTTGAAACACTTGACTGTAACCTTTAAACCCTTGATTGTAACCTTAAAACTTTTAATAATAATTTTGAAACTTTTGATTGTAGTCTTGTAACTCTTGATTGTAACCTTGAAACTCTTGATTGTAACCTTGAAACTCTTGATTATAACCTTAAAACACTTGATTGCAACCTTGAAACTTTTTGTAATAATTTTGAAACTCTTGGTTGTAGTCCTGTAACTCTCGATTGTAACCTTGGAACTCTTGATTGTAACCTTGAATCTCTTGATTGTTACATTGAAACACTTGATTGTTACCCAGATACACTTGATTGTAAACTTGAATCTCCTGATTATAACCTTGAAACTCTTGATTGTAACCTTGAAACTCTTGATTATAGCTTTGAAACTCTCGATTGTAGTCTTGAAACACTTGATTATAACCTTAAAATACTTGATTTGTAATCTTAAAACTCTTGATTGTAACATTAAAACTCTTGATTGTAACCTTGAAACTCTTGATTATAACCTTGAAACACTTGACTGTAACCTTTAAACCCTTGATTGTAACCTTAAAACTTTTAATAATAATTTTGAAACTTTTGATTGTAGTCTTGTAACTCTTGATTGTAACCTTGAAACTCTTGATTGTAACCTTAAAACACTTGGTTGTAACCTTGAAACTTTTGGTAATAATTTTGAAACTCTTAGTTGTAGTCCTGTAACTCTCGATTGTAACCTGGGAACTCTTGATTGTAGCCTTGAGTCTCTTGATTGTAACCTTGAATCTCTTGATTTTTACATTGAAACACTTGATTGTAACCCAGAAACACTTGATTGTATCCTTGAAACTCCTGATTATAACCTTGAAACTCTTGATTTTAACCTTGAGACTCTTGACTCTAACCTGAAACTCTGGATTGTAACCTTAAAACACATGATTGTAACCTTGAAACTCTTTATTGTTACCTTAAACTCTTGAATGTAACCTTGAAACTTTTGATTTTAACCCTGAAACTCTTGGTTATAGCTTTGAAATTTTTGATTATAGTCTGGAAACTCTTGGTTGTAACATTGAAACTCTTGATTGTAACCTGAAACTCATGATTGTAACGTTAAGACACTTGATTGTAATTTTGAAACTTTTTATTGTAACCTTGAAACTCTTTATTGTAACCTTGAAACCCTTTATTTTTACATTGATACCCTTGGTTGTAACTTTTAATCTCTTGATTATAGTCTTGAAACTCTTGATTCTAACCTAAAATAAAATACTTAATTGTAACCTTGAAATTCTCGATTGTAACACTAAAACACTTGATTGTAACATTGAAACTCTTGATTGTAACCTTAAAATACTTGATTGTAGCATTGAAACTCTTGATTGTAACCTTAAAATACTTGATTGTAACATTTAAACACACGATTGTAACCTTGATTCTCTTGATTGTAACCTTGAAACTCTTGGTTATAGCTTTGAAACTCTTGATTGTAGTCTTGAAACACTTGATTATAACCTTAAAATACTTGATTGTAACCTTGAAACACTTGATTGTAACCTTTAAACACTTGATTGTAACTTTGAAACTTTTAATAATAATTTTGAAACTCTTGATTGTAACTTTGAAACTCTTGATTGTAACCTTGAGACTCTTGATTGTAATTTTGGAACTCTTGATTGTAACCATGAAACTCTTGATTGTTACATTGAAACACTTAATTGTAACGTTGAAACACTTGATTGTAACCTTGATATTTATGACTCTAACCTGAAACTCTGGATTGTAACCTTAAAACACTTGATTGTAACCTTGAAACTCTTTATTGTTACCTTAAACTCGTGAATGTAACCCTGAAACTTTTGTTTGTAACCCTGAAACTCTTGGTTATAGCTTTAAAATTCTTGATTGTAGCCTGGAAGCTCTTGGTTGTAACATTGAAACTCTTGATTGTAACCTGAAACTCTTGATTTTAACCTTGAAACTCTTTATTGTAACCCTGAAACCCTTTATTTTTACATTAAAACACTTGGTTGTAACCTTTAATCTCTTGATTCTAGTCTTGAAACTCTTGCTTCTAACCTTAAAATACTTGATCGTAACCTTGAAGTTCTTGATTGTAACATTAAAACACTTGATTATAACATTGAAACTCTTGATTGTAACCTCGAAACTCTTGACTGTAACTCGAAACTCTTGATTGTAATCTTAAAACACTTGATTGTAATCTTGAATCTTTTTATTATAACTTTGAAACTCTTGATTGTAGGCTTGAAACTCTTGATTGTAGCCTTAAAACACTTGATTGTAACATTAAAACACTTGATTGTAACCTTGATTCTCTTGATTGTTACCATGAAACTCTTGGTTATAGCTTTGAAACTCTTGATTGTAGTCTTGAAGTACTTGATTATATCATTAAAATAGTTGGTTGTAACCTTGAATCTCTTGATTCTAACATTGAAACACTTGATAGTAACCTTGAAACACTTGATTGTAACCTTGAATCTCTTTACTGTAACCCGAAACTCTTGATTGTAATCTTAAAACACTTGATTGTAATCTTGAAACTTTTCATTGTAACTTTGAAACTCTTGATTGTAACCTTGAAACTCCTGATTGTATCCTTGAAACTTTTGGTTATAGCTTTGAAACTCATGGTTATAGTATTGAACTTTTTTTAGGAAAGTAAAGAAGCCAGTTTTATTTTATAAGAACAAAATTAACAAACTGAATAGAAGACTAAATAGGAATACTCATAAAGCTACTTGTGGCTACTTGTGGCTTGTCAAAAATGTTAGATTACATTTTGGACAAGCAACATTAAAGCAATTATTCCAATGATCTGACTCTGACACTCAATGAATCATTACAACAAACTTAATATTTGCAAATTACAGCAGCAAACTTTCTAAAAAAAGTTTTTTTGGCTCACTATTTTACATTTATAATATTTTTTTTATTTTATTTTTATCTTGAATAGATATGTTTTGAAATTGTTTAAAAATACCAGCTATACAAATTTTTTATTTCATATAATTATAAAATATTGCATATAATTTTTTGTTTCATATAAATATTAAATATTGCATATAATTTTTATTTCATATGGTTATTAAATATTGCTTATAATGGTTAAATATATTTGAAGTAGTTTTAAAATTTTGTGTTTTGATTATTTTAGATGTGCTAGCAGGTTTAGTTGCATTTGCTGATTCTGTAAAAGAAGAAGCTTCCAAGGCTGTTAAAACATTACATAAAATGGGAATAAATGTTATTTTACTAACTGGTGATAATATTCGCACTGCTACATCTGTTGCTCAACAGGTTATTGTTATATTTCAACCACAACAGAATTTTTTTTTAAGTCAATGAATATTAACCTTTGTTTGTTTTTATCTAGGTCAATATAGATAAAATTTATGCTGAAGTGCTTCCTTCTGATAAGGTTAATAAAATACGCTCTTTGCAACAAAATGGTCGTATTGTTGCAATGGTTGGGGATGGAGTTAATGATTCTCCTGCTTTAGCACAAGCCAATATTGGAATAGCAATTGGAACAGGGACAGATATTGCTGTGGAAGCTGCTAACATTGTTTTGATAAAAGTGAGTTTTTTATCAAGGAAATTTTATTATTAGTTTTCTAGCTAATGAATTCTTAAACATGCCAATATATCAGCCATAATGTCTACATGTTATTTTTTAAGGATGATTTAATGGATGTTGTGGCAGCAATTGATCTCTCTTGCAAAACTGTTCGCAGAATAAAGATAAACTTTATTTTTGCAATAATATACAATATTGTTGGTATACCTTTAGCAGCTGGAGTTTTCCAACATTTTAACATCATGTTACATCCATGGATGGCTTCTGCTGCAATGGCATTATCATCTGTATCAGTGGTTTGTTCTTCATTATTGCTTAGGATGTGAGTGTTTTAGTTTGTTTTTCATTATTGCTTAGGATATGAGTGTTTTAGTTATGTTTGTTTAATATCTATGTAAAATAAAAAATAAATTTATTATATAAATTAAGTTTATAAAATATTCAACAAGTTGAAAGTGGAAAAAACTTAACTGATTAATATTCAAACAAAAGCAAGTTAGTGTTATGCAAAAAAAATTTAATGTTATGCAAAAAAAGATGCTGATAGCATAAAACAAAGTTGTTAATCTTTAAAGTTTCATAATATATTATCGAAAATTGAGTTTTTAAACTTAAAGATAAGCTTCAAGAACTTTAATAACTGATTGATTATTAATAGCTTTAGTTAAAACATCATGTAAAAACATAGAACATCGTGTAAAAATTACATTATGATCGAGGATTACAAATGATTACAAATTACTCCTATGTAATTACATAGGAGATTCCTATAAGATGTTTGAACAGGGTTTTATATGTTGTGTCTTTTTATTTTTAAAGGATTTGATGATATAGTACTCAGTATATTATTAAATAGTCCAAGCATTTTTCCAATCAAAAGCATTTTTAATGCTTTTGATTACTATACTGAGTACTATCTGTGCTTTGAGTCAAGTTATTTAACACATTTAAAAAATGACTAAAGTACTACAAACTATAAACACAAAAAATCATTGTCATCACCAAGTTCTCTAAATCTATCATTCATTAATATCCATGTTATATCTAAATCTATCATTCACTAATATCCGTGGTCTTCAAAGTAACTTTTCTTCTGTTGAGTCTTATCTCTTACAAAGTTCACAACACCTACTTGCTCTTTGTGAGACTAATTTGAAGATAACCATCTACACTAAGATCACAAGATGAGCTGTCTCATCTTGTGATCTTAGTGTTCTAAGCTCATCACATTGAATGGCTTGGTTCTAGTGTGAGTGACTCTGCAGGTGTTAAGGCCCACATTTTTTGCTATTCTTAATCTCAAACACAAATAGTCAACTTTCCAACTCACTATCTAGACAATTCGAATCATTTAACCTTCTCTACTCGAGTTGTTTCTTATCTTAGTCAGTGCTTAGTTTCTCCACATTCACCCTTAGGTGCTTCTGATAACTGTTTGATCTCTCTAAAATTATTATCTCATTCTTATTCATCATCAGAACCCCCCATACCCTGTTGTTTTGGAAAAAAAAAATTTGTGTGTGTCTGTTTTTAAATTGTATGCAAAAATAAAATTATTTCATTAACAAAAAAGTATGTATAAGCCTAAGTTATTATACAGACATATCTGCAACCACTAAACCTTTAAATAGTTTATGAACTGTTTTTTATCAAGAGCTACATGCATTTAGTGTCTTTTTATAATTTAGAAAATAATTATATGACTTATGGATCCAAACTATACAAAGAGATAAGTTTAAAATCAAGAAATGTAAATGAAAAATATAAAAAAAATTTTGCTAGATGTTCCTCTTGATATTTTTATTTTAAAAAGTTTACAAATTGCTTTGGAAGTTTATTTTCATCTATATCAAAATAGTCTATTTGACTATTATTTGCTTTGCTCATTGTTGATTTATTTCTTATTTATTTTTATTTCTGAGTTTAACTCCTAGAATATATACATATATATTCTAGGAGTTAAACTATATATATATATATATATATATATATATATATATATATATATATATATATATATATATATATATATATATATATATATATATATATATATATATATATATATATATATATATATATATATATATATATATATATATATATATATACAAATTTCTAACTAGAAAAATTCAAACAGTTTTAATGCTGGTTTATTTGCTGAAATTTGCTTTATTTTAATGCTTGCTTATTTGCTTAATGCTTAGTTGCTTTGCTCATTGTTGATTTATTTTTTATTTTTTTTCTAAGTTGAATTCTAGTTAGAAATTAATTCAAGTTCTTCTAGTTAATTTTAGAAAAGTCTAGTTAGAAATTTGTATATATATATATATATATATATATATATATATATATATATATATATATATATATATATATATATATATATATATATATACAAATTTCTAACTAAACTTTTCTAAAATTAACTAGAAGAACTTGAATTAATTTCTAACTAGAATTCAACTTAGAAAAAAAATAAATCAACAACGAGCAAAGCAACTAAGCATTAAGCAAATAAGCAAGCATTAAAATAAAGCAAACTTCAGCAAATAAACCAGCATTAAAATTGTTTGTTAACATTATATTTGAAAAAAAATTGTAGTTAAACTATTAGTAAAAAAGAAAAGAGTACAAATTCAAATTTATGGCAGATGCATCGAAATTGGCCAGTACCAATCGACACCGGCCAAAAGTAGGTATCGGTGCACCCCTACTAGAAACCATTTTAAAAAGATTTTGTCTAACACCAAACCCCGCTATTCTCAGGTCACAAAATCTTGTATTTCATCTCAAAAATTAGGTTCTCATGACTTCTGGAAAATCTTTAACAGTATCTATAATAAGAGCTATTTATTACTCCACCTCTCTTTTATGGTTCAGGTTATGTCACCTCCCCTAAAGACAAAGTTGAATTGTTTGCTAAGGACTTCTCATCAATATTATCTCTTGATTCCACTAGTCACATTCAACCTGATATAGCCAACAAACAGGTTGATCCATTGCTTGACATTTGTATCACTCCAACTTCTGTATCTAAAGTGATTTCCTGCTTAGACTCTTCTACAGCTTGTGGTCCAGACAACATAACTGTTATAGTCTTACAGAAGTGTTCCCCGGAGCTGTCGTCTATACTTTCAAAACTATTTAACTAGTGCTTATCAGAGTCTTGTTTTGCAGCATCTGTTATCCCTATTTTCAAAAATTCTGGAGAGCAATCTAACTTATCTAACTACTGTCCCATTAGTCTTCTTCCTATTCCTAGAGGTTAAGGTTATCACTCTCAACATTTCTAAAGCTTTTGATAAAGTTTGACATGCTGGTCTTCTTCATAAGCTTTCGTCTTACAATGTATCAGGTAACTTTGAGATTATCAAATCCTTCCTTTCAAATCGTAGAATAGACAGCACTCTTATTCATTTCCTATAAATTCAGGGGTTTCTCAAGCCTCTATTCTTGGCCCTATATTTCCCATCTTTCTTAGAAACCATCTATCAAATCAATTGCAAAATAAACATCTGCTAAGGTTGCATCTCTTTATCGTACTACTCTGAATTCTATATTTTTTCTCTATAAATCCGTCCTTGTATGGAATACTGTTGCCATATCTGGAGCGGATTTTTGAATGATGCCATGTCTCTTTTAGACAAGGTGTAAAAACAAAATGTATGGATTACTGTGGCCATATCTGGGGTGGATTTTCGAATGATTTTCTTTCTTTTTTAGACAAGGTGCAAAAATGTCTTTGTTGAAAGTAAAGATGTTAAAAAAAAAGAAGCTGTTGACAAGTTTTTTTATGCAATACTATTAAACCATCGTCGCGATAGAGACCTAATTCATTAATATTGATTATTTCATTTAATAAATCTAAAATAATATATTCCAACAAATTCACAAATTTCTGCTCCAGTATGTTTGTCTTTTTCCATGTTTCCTTATTAAAATAAAGAATGGTTATTCTGCAGTGTTTTATTATACGAATTATCTTTTATGAAATAACAGTGTGGATTTTTGCAAATTCAATTGTTCTGTCTAAAATATCTGCAGTTATTGAGGGGTAAAAATCATTAATGTCAAATTGAATGAATGTACTTTTGTTTTCTTTTATAGAGAACTGATTTATAAAATCAGTGATATTTTTCTGTTTTAAATTTAAAATATTTATAAGAACATTACTAATTTTGTACAATTTAATTTTGCTTTTATGTTCAATCTCACTTTTTAAGAATTATTTTTCTTAATATTTTTTTATAAAATGAGGATTATTTTGAAATTTTTATATAATTTTGCTTTTTTTGTGACCCGACATGATATATTTTTTGAATAAAGTTTTTTTTATTCAAAAAATTTAATCCAGTTTTATTTTATTATATAGAATCCATTTAGAAGTTGAAAGCAAACATTTTCAAAACATGTTGTTTTAAGAGCCACAGGAATATATATAGGGGAGAGTGGAACACCATGAAACATTGCAATGTTTCATGGTACCCTACTCTCCCCTATAAGATGTTGGCATATAATAATTTGAATGGGGTAAAATAAATTAAAATCAAACATGAAAATCTTTTTTTTTTTAATAATTAAAAATCAAACAGGTGTGTACACCTACATGGTGTACACATCTGTTGGTCTATGTATCAAATATTAAAACTATTATTAACTCGCACAATCAACAAATTTTGCACCAGAGGTGTGGAGTCGTAAAAAAAAAAAAGTACCGACTCCGGTCGTTGAAATTTTCAGAGTATGACTCCAACTCCAATCCCAACTCCGATTTCGAAGAATTTTTTCTTACAAATTTTTGAAAAATTCTTTGAATTCTTTAAAAAATATTACGCAATAATTTCATAAAATTTTTTTCAGCCATTTATATAAAAAATTCATTGAAGGTTAAATATTTTGTACATGTACGTGCAATACCGAGAAATTTTATTATTGGAGTCGGAGTCGCGAATTTGTTTAGCGTTTCTTCTCCGACTCCTTTACAAATGTTGCGACTCCGCGACTCCGACTCCACAGTTCTGTTTTGCGCAGTAAAAATACCATTAATGTTTTAAACTGCAACTTTATTGATGAAACTACAAGTTTCCATAAGAAAATCAATGGCTAATTAAAAGTGTTGCTTGTAAATCTTCTTTTACATTTTCTAACGCCAATCATACAGAAAAATCTTAAATTAACGAAACTCCAAGCTCAGATATGCAAACTGCATTAAAAGTTTTTTTATTTAGTCAGATATAAAAATGACACTTTCTAAAGATGTCTGGAAATTTTAGGAAGCAGGTATTAAACCTATATTGTAATCCTTATTAAAAAATGTGTAATCTGATTTCTTTTTTTTTCAATTATTTTATGATTGCATATTATTATTACAAAAAAATATTTTCTTGCATGTTATTAGTATATTCTTATAAGTCTGGTAAATCTAGTAGAATCCTATAATTTTTATAGGATCCTAGTATTAATATATTAACGATTCTATAGTCCTGCTGCACATCTGATATAAGGAACAGGGTTCCTATAGTCCTATAGTATCCTATAAAAATTCTTGACTCAGGAATTTTCGAGAATTTTAAAATTATAATAGGAGCAAAACGATTATAATATATTTTTAATTGTAAATTTTTCTTTAGATATAAAAAGCCTATCTACAACAAAGATGGATTTAAGAAAAAGAAAACTTTGCTTAAAAGAAGTTCTCGAACGTTATTTTGTAATTTACCCTTTTCAAATTATGTTAAAAAAAGACGTAGAAGTTTATCTGGAAGTGGTGAATTTTTACTAGGAGATATTAGTTAAATTTTTCTTTATCATTTTAATTCGTCTTAAGATTTTAAACATTAAATACATTAGAGCGATGTAAATATTGTGAATTGACCTTGTTTTTACCTGGATTTGCTTTGATGAATTGGTCGTGTTGCATTGTAAATATGATGAACTGACTAAGATTCATCGTAACCATGCTGAAACTTTTTTCACTTTTTTATATTGAATGCATTAAGTATTTAATTACAAAATTTGAATCTTTATATATAATGTTGTAATAATAATAAAAATTAATATAAAACCATGTAATATTATCTTAACATATTTTTGAATTATGATTTTAAACTTTGAGTATTTGTACACATTTTTTATGATATAAAAATCCTAAATTATAATTCTATATAAAAATTAGTTATATATGCTTCTTTGATTACATTTTCTATAGACTTTGCAGGCTTCGCTTTTTGCGTAAATAAAGCTCGTCTGTGGTGTGAACGGTTATCCGGGTGCTGATTTACTAAACATTCCTTTCTCACACACTGGTAGGTTACAGAAACTATATATTCCCTTGTTGTTAAACATTTCACAGCGTTTGTGTGAAGTTAGGGTTGCGCATACACTAAAGCATGCGATTGTTAAATTTGGAACGATGAATTTCGTTTTGAAACACGTCACATTAAAAAAAAATTTTATGTAATTACATTAAGGAATGATAGTATTAATTAAAAACAACAACAAACAAGTCAAAATATCATCGAAACAGAAAAACGAAAAGAAATTCTGCACAACTACCTACAAAATCCTTCTGTATCGTTACTTTGAATCGCTAAAGCAGCTGAATCTAGCAAAACTGCTGTTTATATGGTCATAAAACGATACAAGAGCTCTATCTATCGAACGAGAAAAAGAATCTGGAAGAAAGAGTCGCTTAAAGGATAAGAAAGCAGCAATTAGTATTCAACGATTTTTCGCGCAAACTTCCGGCTTATCGAACAGAGAACGAGCCGAAAGGTAAAAAAAAGGTATAGGGGAGAACCTTAATGAATGGGACAATTATTGAATGGGACAAAATCAAATTTGCATAGAAGCATCTACGGTTGGCTATCCAAACTCCTGTGGTAATAAGTGTTTGACACAACCATTTAACAGACCAAATCTTTATTTCTATTATGGTCTAAACGTAATGGCATTGGATGTTGTTGTGTTTTGAAGAACAATAAGTAATTTTTAAAAACAATTTTCTGTGTCTGATTTTGCAGCGATTACTAAAGTTAAGGAAAATGAAACTCCAATTTTCAACACCCAAGTGTCTCTACTTTTTAAATTTGTAAAGTATTTTTGTTTAGGTATTACTGTTTTTAACCTGTCCTGTCATTTGTGGATATAGTGGGAAGCCTATTGAATGGGACAAAGTATTGATTATTGAATGGGACTTGTCCAAACAGCCTGATATGAAAAAAGTAGAAAAATGTATTTCGGCAACTTAGTTATGGTCACACATAATTTTATTTTTAAATACGTTTTAATTTGATGTTAAAATGTGGTTCTAAATAAGTGTGACCAATGCTTTAGCTAAAATTCAAAATTGTGTTCATAGAACTAAATCTCTATTAAAATCTTTTCTTTAGTATTCTTTAAAGTTGAGTCGATCAATAGTTTATTAAATGAAATAAATTTTAAATATTTAATTAGATATGTTGATGTATGATATTTATAATATGTATAAATGTTTAATTAGATATGTTGATGTATGATATTTGTAATATGTATAAATATGGATAAATGTTTAATTAGATATGTTGTTGATAACAGAGTATTAAAAAGATGGCAAATATTATATATATATATATATATATATATATATATATATATATATATATATATATATATATATATATATATATATATACATATATATATGTATATATATATATATATACATATATATATGTATATATATATATACTTATAATTATTTTTTTGTATTTATTTATTGTATTTATATACATTTATGTATATCTATTTACACACACACACATACATATGTATTTATATCATATACTGTATGTATGTATATGTATCATACATATACATACATATATGTGTGTGTATATCTGTGTGTATTTTAATTATATATTTCATGTTTGTATTTAAATATTTGCATATGGCATATATTTGGTTTTTTGTGAAGTTTCAAATTTTATTTTAGATGAAACCAAACACAAAATTAATACGTAAAAACTCTTTAGATGTTGAAGATGCAGTAAAAAGTGTTCTTAAGGGTATGTCCATACGAGATGCAGCTGAAATGTATAGTTTATCAAAATCTGCAGTAGGTAGAGCTGTTAAAATGGCAAGATGTCAAAAGCTGCCAGACTATAAACACATTGTAAACATTTGAAATAGAAAAATATTTCATGTGTCTGAGGAAAGTGCAATTGCAGATTATTTGCAAACGTCTTCAAATATGTGCTATGGTTTAACTAAATTACAAACTAGGCAATTAGCCTACAAGTACGGAATTGCATTAAATTCTAACAGTATTCCAGAGTCATGGCACCAAAATAAAATGGCAGGAAAGCAATGGTTGGAAAGTTTTTTGATACGACATCCAAAATTGTCACTACGTAAGCCAGAAAAAGTTAGTCTTGCTCGTGCAACTGCTTTTAATGAACATACGGTGTCAATGTTTTTTGATAACTTGTTAGAAGTTCAATTAAAATATAAATTCAAACCAGAATGTATTTTTAACGCAGATGAGACAGGATTATTAACAGTAACAGATCCTCCAAAGATTATTTCAACTCGTTGAACTAAAAGGGTTTCACAAGCTGTTTCAGCAGAAAGAGGTTCATTGGTGACAATGTTAGCTTTTGTGAATGCTATGGGTAATACAGTTCCACCTGTATTTATATTTCCGAGAGTAAATTACAAGGATTTTATGATATGTGGAGCCCCAACAGGAAGCTTAGGGCTGTGTAACAAAAGTGGTTGGATGGCAAGTGAGAACTTTTTAGTTGCAATGAAGCACTTTGTTTCCCATGCTAAGCCATCTGTGGAGCATCCAGTGCTGTTATTAATGGACAACCACGAAAGCCACATTTCATTTGAAACAATAACATTTGCAAAAGAAAACTCTTTGATTTTATTAACATTTCCACCACACTGCAGTCATAGATTGCAGCCTTTGGATGTTTCGGTGTTTGGTCCTTTTAAATCTTGTTTTAGATTGGCTCAGAATGAATGGTTGGCCTCCAATCCAGGGAGAATTATTAACATATATAATTTACCTCAGCTAGCATGCAAAGCATATAATATGTCTTTCACAATAAAAAATGTTTGCAGTGGGTTTTCTAAATGTGGGATCTATCCACTCAATAGACAAATATTTGGGGAAAGTGATTTCATATCATCTAGTGTTAGTGACAGACCTCTTCTTGTCGAGCAACCAGAAATTAAACAACCAGATAATCAACAATCATATGAAATAAATAAACAAGTCAAAATAGTTAGTCCAGAATCCATTCATCCGTACCCTAAAGCACCCCCAAGAAAAGATTCTAAAAAAAGAAGAAAGCAGGGTAAAAGTACTATATATAAGAAGAACATTTTTGAAACTGGTAAAATTACCACACAAAATCTAAAAAGAAAAATTGACCTCAAAAGAGGGAAAGAAACAGAAATCTTTGATGCAGAATGAATGTGAACTATGTGAAGTTGACTGTTGATATCTTCTACACTTTCTTTGATGGTTTTTATTTCATGTACTTTGCAACAAGCAATAATTGTTGATTTTTATATTTTGGTTAAACATAAATACAATGAATTTTTTAAATATCTAATAAGATGCTTTGTTATTTCGTTTTTTGAAAGTAAACTAGATACTTTATATGGTATTAAGTTGTTTATTTATAATTTAGCATAGGGATGCTGCAGGCAATGACTCATTTCCCTATTGGAAATGTGTCATTACTGGGAATTATATCCAAGCATTTAAAAAACGCTTTTTGTTTTACTAAAAACAATTATTCGTGTTTTTAATTTAATTTTAATATACATATATTTTTTAATAAAACTGTTTTAGGTTTGTCAATATATGCAGACATTCGGCCATATTTATAGCTTTTTCGGGTTCCCTAATGGTAGAAACTACCCTTACTGCTTGACTGGCTTGAAAGTTACTTAGGACCTCTCTTCTTTTATTAATTTTTTAGATTTGTCCCATTCAATAATTTTATTTGTCCCATTCAATGAGTAGTTCTTAATGAATGGGACAAATGCCATGGTCTTATTAAACTCTCTTTTTACCAATACCCATATGCGGAATCAATTTTTTTGTTTTTGTTTATCATAGTACGAGAGTTAACAGTTATCAAACTATTTTCAAAGTGATTTTTAAACAAATTTATCAACCTCAAAAAATGCATTTTACGAAAACTGTCCCATTCATTAAGGTTCTCCCCTAAAGTTTCAGAGTTTTTTTTTGTCAGAAACGTTAAGAGGTTTAGCAATTTCAAGTCTTATCGAGAAATTAAATATCCAAACCGATTAGATCGAGTTTAGGCGATCTGACTGATAAAACTCGAGCTCGAAAACTTTATGAGGAAGTGCTTACAAAATTTAATGGCTGCAAAATTATGACGAAACGTACGTCAAATTTGACTTCTAACAGTTCCCAGGTCCAAAATTTTACACTTCAATTGTCCGTAGACGTGTTAGCAACAAGTTCAAGTATAAATCATTGGATAAATTTGGTAAGAAACTTCTCTTGTGGCAAGCAATATCGCATCATCAATTTTAAACTTGGATGTTTTCATCAAAAAACATCGTTCTGGCCTAATCTTGCTTCTAGTCATTCTAAGAAGACCGTAGAGTGGTACAATTCGAGAGACTTCAAGTTCATACCAAAAAGCTTGAATCCACCAAACTCCCCACACTTCCGTCCCATTGAAAAATTTTGGGGAATCAGCAAAGGATAATTACGTAAGAGTGGCAAAATAATAAGTACAGCTAAAGATTTTATTAGAGAGCGGACATTAGTAGGAAAAAAATTGCTAAAGATACTACTGTTCAAAAGTTGTTGTCGTCAATTAGCGTAATTATTCGTTTATTTATTCGAAATAATGAAAAATATAAAAATAAAAAGCATTTTTTTAATCTTCAAGTTTGTTAGATTAAAATAAATATTGAAGTTTTGGCATTAGTTTAATTTTTTTTTTTTTTTTTTTTTGAATTTTTCTTTGTACTGAATTTAACAGTTTCATGCTTTATGTGGTCTAAAATAGTTTTTAATGATTTTTTTTTTCTCTTTAATCTTCTAGATGGTTATAAATAAAAAATAAAAATCTTAAATATCATATATCAACTTTTAACTATTAAAATTAAATAT